GGGTATTCACGCTCGCTTTCGGACTCGACCTATAAAACATAAATTCTACCTAATTTACCGATTATTTTCTAAGGAGAATTTAAGCCTGAATAACTCCCTTTCTCATAATTCTAAGTGACCTCGTTATCAATGTGCACATACTGAAAGTAAATGTACGTTAGCCAATCAGTCTTCTGAATTTTTCTATTGAACTTTTCGCAAAGCTATAAGTATTTTATTTTATTTAAAAATATAAGGTAGTAGAAGGAATCCAATATGATTTTTGATCGAGAACAAGGCATAAATTTTGAAACATACAATAAAAGTAATCAGGACAAAAAGGCAAGTCCACCGCTTTCAAAGATTCAGACTGCAAGTCACATTGGCCCTCGAAATAAGCATAGGCCAAAAATCTGACATTGCATTAAAAGCCTTTATCCAGACATATTTTTAGTCTGCCTGTGCGCACGCGTGTTCAACACACGCCCAAGCCGAAAACAACGCTCGCGAAGAAAGGATAACTGCAGGTTTTGCTGATTGCCACGCCCCAGTTTTTTTTAAAAAAAAGACTACGAAGAAACTCGACATTTCCACAAATTGTTATCCTCTCCTCGACGCAGTAGGTCCCCTGTCTGTTTCTTGCAGGTGGAACTATCGGTTTCTGCAACGAGGTTTCGTTAGCTCACCGCAGGTGTCCACAGCGCAGAGGAAATCCCACACCGCCTTCATAAACTCCCTGCGTGCGCCCCAACAGCGCAAACGGTAGGAGCCACCCTTCACCCCCCCTCCCCTACCGAACTCGTTCTGTTTAAATTTTCTGTCTAAACACAACTCTTTGGGAGAAGCGTTTATTTTCGTGTGAAATGGTTCGTTGGCGGAGGCTCCTGCATCTGATGTGGATGACCGGCTCGGGAAAATATTTGTCACATAATGTAAAAATGCCTAGGCAAAGGTGTTTTATTTCTGCGACTACACATATAGATGAGCTTCCACGGCGAAGTGGATGGCTGGCCGTATAGTTGGGGCTATCGTTGAACCTCGCGGTTTAATGACTTAACCTGTATTGCGAGAAGCCCGTTTTTTAAAAGATCCCAACTCACGGCGCTAACAGAGGTGAGAGAATCTTTCTTCAGATAACACTATTTTGGTGAGACGAAAGGTAGTTTGTAAATTTCGTGGCCCAAAATGAAAAAGACGAGTTGGAACATTTACCTAAGAGAGTGAGGGCTTGTAAGTTTATCCCACATCAAAGGTGTTAACCCCGTTTCGTCCGTTAAACAAAAAAACAAAAACGTCACATTTGATATTCTAATGAGTCGAGTCAGACCCTTGTCAAATTTTACAAAATAAGATGCTAAAATGACTGATCTGTGTCATAAATATGTACGGAATACGCACATCAGCTAGTGACATAAATACATCCACTGTTATTGTTCTTGTGATCGTAATATCTGATACAAGTATATGCAAGACTCATTTTACAAGGCACCAACACTAGTTTACGATAACTGAGTTTTTTCGTGAGGCGGATACAATAGTCAAAAGCTGGTCTCTCAGCACATAATGGCATCATTTTCAACGGGCAGTCCTCATTAAAAGTATGAGATATCAGGCATGTGCGCAAGGGGTTTATTCTGGGTGACCGATTATCCCCAAATCATCTAGCCCGTCAGAAGGCATTTGATTTTGGAAAATCCATGTGAATAATAAACAATCATGCCACTGAATGTCCAGCACGATTATATCCTTTACCAGAAAAGGTGGTCCGTTAGAAAATTCTCGTAACGCATGCACCATGTAAATTAGAAAAGAACGGAAACAAGAACAGGCACCCTGTATTGTTTCGAATGGGACAAACAGAGAATAATACCAACAGTCATTCTTGCTTTAAAATTTTGTAGTCGCAAATGGTAGGCAAACGGAAAAGAGTATATTCAGAGAGACCAATCTGGCGGCATACGCTTTTGGAATCCCACTTGCAAGCGGTCTCGCATAGTTTCGAGCAGACTCCTAAAAGAATAGCTTTCAATGCATATTTTTATCCAAGATTCAGTTTTTCTTCAAACGAAAAATACCCCGCCCTTCGGTCCGCAAAGGGCTTTTCGTCCTTAAAAGACATTAGATATTGCCAATAGAAGCGAAGCGCCGAGTCCCAGGAAGTAGTCTTGAAGAAGGAGACACGATCGCCGGGACAAGAGCTTTATTAGCCTGACGTTTCGGATTCCTACTCGAATCCATCATCAGAGACAAAAGAGCAGAAAAGGGTGGTTGTTGCACAAGGGGCTG